GAAACATGTAAGATATACCTATAAATATGCTGCTTTATTTATAATGCAATAATGTAAGACACTAAATCTTTGCTGAGTTTCTTTGTTGTAGCAGAGTTATGCAGCAATATGCAGCTGTTCAAAAGTAGGGGTGCACTGAACCTTGAATTTGGAAGTCTGCAGATTTAAAAATGATCATATTAGGGTGCCATTTTTAAGAGGCTGTTATAAACTAATCTCCACAAGATAGTGTGTTATGTATAAATGCACATATGCATAACCCTGAAGGCAAATTGAGAATAATTTAAGTCGTTAAAACAGTAAATCATGTCAATAGAACAAATTCTATCCTGACAACAAATGCGCACCTCTACGGTTCAGATTGAATGTATTTGTTGCTAAATTAAGTTGTAAACTTTACTGCTGTTCAATAGATTTTTGACCTAAGTTTCATTATTGTAGAAATAGACTGAGTAGATCTGTGCCTGGGCTAGAATTTCATGCCCATAGTTTGCCATATCGTGGAAGAGATACAGCTTTTAAACACACTGTTGGTGTAAACAATGTTATCCTATTATGAACTCTGTAAATATGTCTGGAGCCAAGCAGCTAAAGAGTTGGAGTGAATCAAGAGGGTTCTTAACAGAGTTGGTTTAAACAACAAAAATACATTTTGCACAGCTGAGATGCTGCACTGTGCTGAAATCATGACATCACTCATCTGGGCTGGGGCTATGTTAAAAAAAAATAAAAAAAGATTTTCCAATTCTAAATTGAATGTCATGTTGTTTGCTAAAGATCCATTAATATGATCAAAGATTGATTAAAAAGCAAAGCCCTTTAGACTCTTGCAGACACCATTACTTTATTAGTTTGCTGTTTAATTTATTTCAGAAATACTTTATTTCCCTCAGGGTAGTATTAAATTTACTTTAATATTAATGTATTACTACTATCAATATCTTCCACAAATACACAGTGATGTAATTCAGGTAGAGCTTTAAATACCAGAAATCCAGTTTTATATGGGATTGGTTCAGATTCAAAAGAATGAATTCTAAATCTAGAGAATAAGAATCGAAACTATTCTTAATTTTGAATCAATACCCAGCACTGATTTTACATTTCCCTCTTACGTATCTCATAGTTTTTAAATTCTCCTCCCTGGTTTACAAAGTCTTCCCTCCACAGTAGTTCTCAGGAAAGAAAGCACATAGATCACCTTAACCTGAATTCTGTGCACAGGCTTAAGCATTATCGCACTGCTGACGGAAATCAAAGTAGATCGGATTTAACCGTATCACAATGCTGATTTTAACGCAGGTGCTCAAATCTGTAGTGAACATAATTTATGCTCTTGTGGTATGTTTTACTTTCATAGCTCGTCCTGCTGCTCTGCATGCTTTAATCTCCAAACAAGATACTTGCGCATCCCTCCCCCACTCTGCACTCTTTAATCCCTTTTTTAATATATCACATTGCCAGATGTGTGTTTTATTTCCCCAGTAAAATTAAGGACTGGATTACTAATGTCAGGAACGCATTAGAAGAGCATGACTAAACATGTCGCTTTACTGTTTGCACTCGGTAGCCTGATGTGTTTGTGGCATGCACACGGATCAAGCCCTTCTTCCCCTGGGGCAGATTCAGCAGAAGGGATGCTTAGAGGATGTGTGGCTTTATATCAAACCAACACCTTCATCCCAGTACAGCCGTTGCCTCTAACTGACAAATCAGCACTGCTAGAAACTAGTTGCAAAGAATTAACAGCATTTGTCTCCCTGCAAGGACTGCAGTAAAACACTGAGTAAGCTCTTCATGTTGCTGTGTTTCGTCCCATGGAGGAATTCAGGCTTGTGTTTGTCAGTGAATACAAGCAGAGTTACAACAACATTAGACAGAAGCTCAGCCAAAGCAAACGGCAACAATCAGCATTAACCCTTCAGTTGCCTTCACTCAGAGGCAGCCTTTATTCTCACACCCGCTCAGCTTCTCTCATTCATTACAAGCTTCTCTAAAAAATATCAATCATTCAAAGAATGCTATTTTGCTTTTTAAGTTTGTTAAATCATCGAGTTAAGGTTGTTAAAAAGCAGATCATTTAATCGACAACTGGGGGGGCAGAAGTGAAAATGAGGAAACGAGAAAAACAAACTATGAAAATCTGCTTGTAGAAAAAAATTGCAGCCAAGAAATCACGAATGTGCGTTTTACCATAGTGACGGATTTCTACCTGCTTTTTGCCATCAGTTGATTGGTTATTTCCCTGCATGACCAAGTCCTACCTACAGCATGTAGCTCTGCGGCCTGCTCTCATTGGTTAATGGAAGCAGCCCCCTCTGTAACCTCAGTCCAGGTACCCAACACCACTGCTCACTTCATCTGGGACCACCTTCCCTCAGCTCTGCTTTCAAAGTTTGCATAAGTAATGCAGATTTAGATTCAAAGCATCTTTACAAGCTGATCTGATTATGACTGACAGTAAATAAGAACAAAATAAATTAATAAAAGCAGAGTGAAAGAATCAGCATTTAATTGCATATCACTGCTTTTCAGCCACTAAGTAGATGTTGTGAAATACTTCCTCCATGTGACTGCAGTCTGTAATTGTGACATATTTCAACTTTGTTTTGAATAAAAATTAGAATTAAGTTTAGAGAAACACAGGAAATAGTCTGTACAACTACTCTGATAGTAAAAGCTTGATATTTTGACAATAACTAAATATTCTCCAACCAAACCCATTCAGTCAGTTATGCAAATGTATCCATATGGGCCACATAACCATGTTTATTATTACCATAAGTACTTTACTGTCTTAAATTTAGTTTCTTAGAACCTAAAGTAGAACGTGAACCTCAGTAGAACCCTTATCTTTCTCTAACACTAACAACGCTCGATAAGTTTGGTAGAAGTACATCTAGCCTTTTGGTGAAGATGCAGCAGCTGTCCTCTTTGGAAGACAGCAGAATTCAGGTTGGGACTACAACCTTGGGTTGTACCACTGTTACTTCTCTAAGGATACGCTCTGGGCACATAAACATTTTAAAACTGGGTTTCAGGGGTTGATGTCAGCCCAGCTACAATCGTTGGCAAATTAAATCCAATTGTAATATGATTTCAATTTTATAAATCAGAGAGGGGATCAGTTTCTGTCACATTACATTTAACTAAGTCAGACACTGACTTTCTTACTCCAGTTCTTTATGGGGTGGTAATATGCTTAAAGTGGGTTTGTTAACACAGTACAGGGGACAGAGAGCTGCAGGTAGGGCACAGATGTGAGTAGAAGAGTAGAAGCTTTTCTAAGTCAAGTAGGGTTGAAAAATGAATCAGATTAAATGATTATTAAAATAATTGTCAACTAATTAAGTAATCGATTAATCGTTACCTGGACTGTAGACACTCTAAAATGTGCATTTAGCTGACAGAGCAATCCACTTAGAGCAGTTATTTAAAAGAGAAAATTATAAAAAACAAAAGATTTTTTTGCATTTAAGATAAAAATCTTTTTCATCAGTCAATATGCTCTGTCCAGAACTCCTCAAATTACAAAAGCTTTAGTTTATAGATTAATAATCAGATAGCCAAAGGTTCCTTTGGCTATCCAATTATTAATTGATTAATTGAAAAATAATCAACGGATTAATCGATTTGGTTGCAGCCGTGAAGTCAAATGACAATGGACTCTAAGCAGGCTTTCAGTGTTTAAAAAATAAATAAATAAATTAAAAAAAACTCTTGAGTGAAATGTCTGAATGGTTTTTTTGTTAATCAAATTAAAAGTGAAAATGGGTGAAAAAAGTTAGATTTTTGCCCTACCAGATACTATGGTTTACTTCTGGTTCCTGCAGTGGCAGAGCACTTATCTTGTGTTTGGCAAATAATTAAGACAAATTTCCAAATCCAAAAAAGCCCCATATTTAATAACCATCTCTGTAATCACACACCTTAGGTTCTCTATTTTAATGAAGCAAATTGTTACGTTTATTAGATAAGAATACATTTTACTGTGCAGTTTGTATTTTCTTCTATAAAGCGCATTATTCTGCATATCACCACCTTTTTACCCCTTAACTTATCTCATGTCTCACTACTTGGAACCGGGCCTTGTAAAATTCATGAACTTAGGTTGTGGTGTTGAAGTTTTTTTTTACTTCTATCTCTGGTTAAATGATGAAAACTGAGAGGGGTTTAAAAGGATTTTAAATGTGTTATTACTTCTTCGTAAGTACAACTAAACCTGTCCTTTTTTCTGTCAGCTGTCTCATTGTTGTCAAGTTGAGCCATCAGAAATGACTTTAATTGGAAATGATCTGGTTTTCATTGAAAAAAGCCTCCAGGCTTTAAAAAATGTGGGATGCTTTAGGTTAAAAGGCATCTATATAACATCTTTCCTAAGTTCCCATATCAAAGTGATGGAAATCTGTACGGAGATGATCTAATTGACTCAAAGGAACCTGTGTTTGTTGAGCTGCCAGAGTTTATCTAACCAAACATTGAGAAAGATGTGGGTCACATTCTGAAATAAAACATGATAAAAATAACAAACAAGGGGGCTCTTGTTTCTGTAGGGGATCGTGTTTTGAACAAAGGCAGCATTCTTCCCAACACCCACATCTAGGATCTGCACATGCTCAATATTTCCAAGGCTAAGAGTCCTTTATTTAATTATTTCTCCTTATTTTGAGTCTTTGCCATCTTTAATATTTGGCTGCTCATTAAGAGTGAGGCTTACTGTCCAAACTGACGTCATAAGAGTGGAGTTTTCCAGAGCCGGGTGTTTCCTTCTGAAACTGAAAGGAGGTGGTGTCCAATCAAAGCTGCCTTGTGTCTGTTTTTACATGCAGAAATTCCACACCCCATATTTGCTTATGAATATATGAACACAACCCTGTGGGATTCTCCACTGTTTTTGCTCGCTAAAGATTAACATGAAATATTTTGATATATAATTTTGTGCTGGTTTGTTGCTTTAAGGTGCATTATTGGTTTTCTTTTCTTTTTATCATTTTGTTTAGTTTTGGGAAGCGATCAGCAGGCAGCCTGCGACGTGGATGTGAATGCATCGTCCTTGAACCCTCAGAAATGATTGTGGTGAGTTCATTTCTCTGACGTTTGACGCTCTGCCTTCTATTTGTCTACAGTTAAGATTGTAAAAAATATGTTTTTCCTTCCTTCCCTGTCCTTTTCTTCTTCATCCACCCACCTTTTCATGTGCCGTTACTTCTTTCCTTCCTACTTTCATTTCTTGTCTCCTTTCCTTTTTTCCTTGTTTCTTCTAACTTCCATCCTTCCCATTGTTTCCTCTGTTCCACCTATTCCGGTTTTTGAAGGTGCGTTATATAAATCCTACTTAGTGAAGAAATGTCTGCTTTCAGTTTAAAGCCAACTTTGACGTTAAGATCCACTGAAACTGGAAAAAAACCCAACCTATTAGCAGCGACCCCAGTAATCTTGTGTGTTGCATCATGTCCGAATGGATCACTCTCAAACAATGTTATAAATCCAACCACCACCTGCAGTGTCAAACTTGCATCACCCTGTGCGTCTTAGCCCTAAAATAACTCAACCTTTAACACAAACTGGGCTCTAGTTTAAGGAGTAGTTCATTTTTTTCTTTAATATAGTTTAATTATTGCTAGAATGTTGCTCTAATCACTGTGGTTTAGGATTATTGTTGAACCTTTCATTAAATTTGGATTCTTCTCCATCTTAGTGGAGATTTGTTAAATGAAAAAATGGCGAAGAATGATTTATTCCCTCAGGGGTGAGAAGAGCAGCCAGTTTGGCAACAGCGGCAGTCATCTGCTGAACAGAAGCTAACTGAAGCCTAAAGAAGCTCCACAGTCAGGCTCAGGATTTTGCCAAGACAGAAGACATGTTCAAACAGCTGCAGGCTGAAGTCTGATGATATCCTGATGGACCGCATACGCTAGGTTGACCTTTGAACTTGCAGACTCAAACCTGCCACAGTTTAACCTGCAAAAGTTGAATAAAATCTGTTGGAGGTTTTATAACATGTTTCCAAAGAGTCCTTTGGCTTTTTAGAGACAATCCCTTCCTCTGGGTGAACTTTGAGCCTTAGAGGCTGAAAGTAACCACTATTAGTGAAGCAAACTCCCCTGTTTGCTTCTCAGTCTTACTTGGATCAGACCAGAGCCTAAGGAGATTAGGCTAACTGTTACATAAGGATGCCAAAAGCATATTTTATAATCTTAGTAAATATTTCAGTGTGTCAAAAGTATTAATGTGTTTGATACCTAAAACAGGGCATTACTTTGGAGACATTTCCTGGAAATAAATGTTTGTTATTCTTTTTAGTCTTTAAATAAGGCCAATAAATAGAAATTTGTGTCTCAAATACAAGAAAGAAAAGAAAACAAAATTAGATTTTTTGTACAAATAAACCAATATTGATTTTATTAGGATGGGCTCAAAATTGGAATACGTCTGCTTTTTTTTCCAGCTTTATCCAGCCATACCTCACAGACGGCTATATGTAGCTTTCTTGCAATTCTTCCCTTTTTTAGTTTTGGGTGTGAATTTGTATCCAGCACCTCTAGGCATGATTCTACCACCCCCATGTCTCACCATGTGGAAGGTGTGTTCAGGATGATAGGAAGTGTCATTTTTACACCAGGCATTGCCTTTCAGTTCAGCTTTACAGAGTTCCCTGCATGTCTTGTGGGCACTTGCCAACAGGGCTTCCTTTCACTCTCGTTTTTTATGTTTTATCTTAAAACATAAAACGAAGAATAATAAAGGAGAAAGTTCCTATATCTGTTAAGTGTTTAACAATATATCCAGCTCGTTCAAGACCTAATGAAGGACATTATTAAAACATTGGAAAAGTGGGTTCGCAGTTTTTTTTTTTTAATTCTTGCATAAGCATAAGCTTGCTGTGATTAGTCCAGTCAGTTTCAAGTTAGTCTGGCTGACAGGGCAGCATTCAGCATCCATGTACTGAGATCAAGGTAAACACATTCATTGTTGCTCCCTCTATTTGCTATTAATTAATAATGTTTGTTTGATTCACTAAATGTTTCTTTTATAATGAGCTAAAAATGGAGGAAGAAAAATTTGCTTGGACTTCAGAAATATACTCTAAAAAATCAGCCGCTCATATTGGGTATCCCTTAGACCGATGTTAAAATAATTGGCAACACCATCGGCCTTAAAAAAACCTCTATCAGTCGACCTCTACATCACTGCTGCAATCACTGCACATTTAGTTTCTCATAATTGCCGTCTCCATGAGTGCAGATGGGAAGAAAACTCCTGCTAAGCTCTGTCAGAGACCCCCTTATTAACAGCTCCACCCTGCCTGCTACCAGATGACACTTTGCTGTATTTTGCTGTTTTTAGTAGCCAAACCGTTTCATAATTGCAGTGCAGGATAGAAATGCACACAGATAACCGTCTCTGCTATAAGTTCCCACACAGCTTTATGAAGCCGCAGTCTAAATGAATGTAGCAGATTCGTACGCCGCCGAAGCACCCTTACTGTATGCACACAGCTCTGAGAGAGCAATTAGACACACAAGCAGGATTTTATGCCCTCACTAGCACACAACTCCACCGTCGTCATGACAGCCAAGTGAGATTTTTAGCAGCGTAATCCCAAAGGCAGAGCTGCAAGAAATGTAAAAATAGCAGAAGAGATGAGATGAACCGGGCCCAAAATATAAAGATGGGAGGAAACATTGCGCTCTGACCCAAAGCTTCCTGCAGACACATATTTTAGGATCCCCTGGTAGGATAAGAGCCCCCCTCTGCCACTTCAACATGTTTCTTTTTACTCCTGCTCATTCATTATGAATGGAGACTGGGGATCTTATCTTATTTTAACTTCTAATTAAGTGAGGTTGCTAGAAGCCTTTTTTCTTCATCTTTCCTCATGTCAGCCTGTCAATTTGTTTACTCCGCATCTCCTCCAGCTCACTCCTCTCATCCGAATTCCAAACCCAGCCCTGTGTGTCTGCTTCTCTTGTTTTGTGATGTGAGCACCCTTTGACGTCGGTGTGCTCCATGCAGCCCACACACACACACTTCTATTTTTACGCAAGCAGAGGGGCGGGATGATTTGGGGGGGGTATTTATTTATTTTGCTAAGGATGAGGGAGGGATTAGGGGTGTGAATGAAAGTCACTCCCCTTCTATCTGCTTCCGTCTCTTCCAGGTGGACTATATGGATGAAAATGAGGAATACTTTCAGCGACAAGCTTCGCACAGACAGTCCCGGCGGCGCTTTCGGAAGATCAACCAGAAAGGAGAGCGGCAGACAATCATCGACACAGTGGATCCGTATCCCAGCGGAAAGCCGCCCGTAGCCCGGGGATACCACACGGTGAGTTGCAGCCCGTGTAATAGCTTAGTTTTTACCCTCGCTGTGCGCTCCAGAGGCAGCCTCAGTTGTGTGTCGAGCCGCTCCTTTAAGATCTGCTGTGCTTTTTCTGCTTCTGTGTAAATGTGAAAATGTAAGCCTTTTTAGAGTAACTTAGTGTCATCACTCTGCTTTCTGCTGACCTGCAGTCAGAGATTGCTGGAAGGACCGCTGTGCCCTGTCCTGCTGCACTTTGAGGCTTTTTTCTGATCTCTTTCAGCTCCTTTTTGGATTAGAGTTGTTCCACTTTCCTATATGTGTAGAGACTCTCCAGGCAATTCTGCTTCCTGCTTGTTGTTCTTTTATGCCTTTAATGAATGTTTTTGTAGTTTGTTTAGCCTCTCTTAGCGTCTCTTTGGAATCCTGTTTGTTGTAAGAGTAGTTTCATTTGTCTACATGTTTGTGGTTTAGATGTCTGTGCTCTCTATAAACAAGCTTGCAAAGCAAAATAGATGTGAAAGAAATCTCCTTTCTTGCTCTTTCTCAGAGCTGTAGTGGTTCGGTTGAATGTATTTTTCTTGTGCGGAAAAATGTGTAGTAGCCTTTTATGCTGCAAGGCTGTGCACAGCCACAGGGGGGAAGAGAGAAACCCTGCTCTATGCTTTGTATTTTGTAAAAAAAAAAAAAAAAATCTTAACTTTTTCAGATAATAATTTACAATTTTCATGATCGGACCTGCAAATGTTAAAAAAGATTTTCAACATATAATAAAACACAATAAAAAAGAAATGCTTCAGATTATTTAACAGACGCAGAAGTTCAAGGAGTAACAAGATAATATCTGTTTATTACATCCATTCAAACGGTAATTAGTGGTAAATGTAAAGCGCTTTTTCTCTTTATGCTCCGCTTAGACTCTCTGCACTTTCTGTTTTCTTTCCCATCATGCCCCTTCTGCACAGTTTCCTGTTCTTAACTGTTTCACAGCATTCCTCGCGTTCCCAGTTTTCCCTAGGGTGCTCATGGGGTAGTTGTCTGATGTTGCCTTTGTGAATCGGTTACTTTTAAAAAGGAGAAACGTCATCTCATTCCAGCCTTTATTACACCCGACCATGATCCTTTAAATAAGTGGAGGATAGCATTGAACTTTCTCATGGCTCAGACTCTGCACTCTGTTCTCCAAAATGACTCCTGGGGGAAGGATGGAGCCTGTTCCATAGCAACCAGTATTCCCAGGTTTGAAGTACAGTAGGGAGAGGAGCTGTGAACCATAGTGGTGCAGCTGAGGGGGGGTGGAGTGACAGAGATGCTGAATCTGGATGGCTGCTAAGCTAGGATAGCATGCTAACCTGCAGTGTTTAGATAAAAGACACGACTGAAATGTTCCTTCCTTCTTCCACGCAGCATATTTTGGAGGTGAGAACTCTCAGTCACTGCTTTTAGGCTAAATATGAAGACTGGAATGAAAACATGGAAAGAATCTAAAAACAAAAACCCTAACTTCCTCGTTACTTTAAATGCCATTATAAGATGCATACATCAGTGCCAGGATTTGTATAATGGCTCACAGAGATTTCTCTGCTAGGCCTTATTTTACAATACGGGGGGCACTGTTTTTGAAAACTAAACTTCATCACCTTTTAAATATACGCAACATCCCAAACCTAGATGAGTTCATGGATGAAATGTTAATCAGGATGATCGATTTCAGAATCCTATCCATTAATTTTTTGAATTCCAACAACACATTCTTTAATCGAGTAACTTAGAGCCGGTTTGAAGTCACATCTGATGTAGATTTTAATGAGTGACATCCCAAAGTTCCTGGAGAGTGATGGGGGGTATTGTCGTTAGACGACTGTGCAGAAAAACAAGTTTAACCAGGATTTGATATCTGATTGGAAACTTTTAAAGTAATTTCTTAATATCGAGTTAAGCTGATATGAGGCTGTCAGGGTGTCATCTACTTGGTGCTAACAGATGCTGGGATGGGTTTGAAGTGAACCACAATAATAGCAGATCTGTTTATATGCATCCTGTCAAACCAAAGGAAGATCCTACATCTCCGACTGTAGTAGAGGTTTAAGGATTTTGTTTAAGGATTAAGGATGTCGGTCCTGTGAAAATGGTTCCCCACAAGGTTAGGGCAGCTTCAGTTCATTATTGAGAAGATATTTTTCTATTTATTATAAATAAAAGGTCCACTTTGTATTTTTAAAAGCTCCTATTTTCCAATGAATTGACAGAAAGTCTATAAGGAGAAATGCGTTGGAGCCCAAGTAAATTCTCTATAGAGTATCTCTACTTTAAAAGCCTTAAAAGAAGGATTTTAGGTTTAGAAAGGTAGATCCGAGGTCACTTATCAATAATCTTCATCCAATTCTAATTTTACTCAGACTTTATTATAAAATGCTGCCACAACATCCTGTTTGCAGAGGAACACAAAGTACACCTATAAATACCCTGAGCTGTGATTTAGTGCCTGATTAAACATGTTCAAATGTCCATTAAGAATTTCAGCCAGTGTGTTTGTTTGATCCCATTTCAAATAATACTTTGCTAAAAGCTTCAGTCTCTTGTCATTAAGGAGAGATTGTTTTATAACTCTGAGGTTACAGATAGTCTGTAGACAGACATCTCCTGTCCCCGAGCAATCGCTCTGAACAAGTCCAGGTCCTAAGCTGCTGCAGAGAGTCAGTTCGATGGGTGAAAAATCAAAGTCAGACTAACCCTGGATAGAGACTCCCAGTGGGAGCACTCACAAAGACAGAAAAACAATCTGAAGCTAAGCTGCTATGAAGTCAACTTTATTTGGCCTCAATGTTCAAATATACTGCAGGATCATTTTTAAACAAACACAAACAAAGTCTGCTCTCATTACTGTATGCTCATTTCTGTCTGTTTGACCTGACCTGGATCGTTTCTCTGTACTGAGGACTGCACTGGGATTAATATTAACATCCATTAGCTGATGAAGATCACTTAAATAATGAATGTTATAGAATTCAATGCATCACTTCTTATTCTGAGATTAAGCAGGGGGCTGAAATAAGGATTTTCTATATTGTATAAAAGCAAACGGTACCTGTTGAACTTCCTGGACAGCCATCAGAGGGTCCAAAATGGAGATCAATCCAACTGTTTAGTTTTTTTTAGCCTCTGTGCTTCTAGGGAGCTATAATGTTTCACCCATTGGTGATTTATTGTGTTTATTTGCAAAATAACAGTAAAAATTACAGTGGTTTTTACATGTTGATCAAATATACTGAAGCATCTATCTGAGTTATATTTTACTCCTCAATAAAAGGCAGCTATGAAAACATGCCACAGCAGTTGGTTAATACTTTAGACCTACATTTGGGTCTTGTGTGTGTGCACGCTGTAGGAAGTTGTGCAGCGAAGGGATTCAGGCTTCCTTATGTTGAGCTGCTCAGATTTTTGCTTTGAACTTCCTTATATAAGGGTTGACTTCTCGGTGTGAGTGTGATTTCAGTTTATTTGTATAGCATCAATTCAACACATGAGCTAAAGGTGATTTACAGACTTAATTCAATCAAATCATATTGGCAGATTGCTTCGTTTGGTTCGTTTTCAGTCTAAGGACTCTGACTTGTCCTCCATTACTGCAAAGTCAGATTTCAAAGTGAGCGAACTTAATTGTGTAAACTTAATTGCAGTTTAATTATGAAATGTCACACAGATGTAGCGGAGGGAAGGTGCTGTAGGTTTCTAGTTTTGTTACAGACTAAAAATCCCCACAATTTTGCATCAAATCTTAAGTGCATGGCCGACTTTATTGGGTACACTTTGTTAGTACTGTTTTAGAAGCTGTTGCACTCAAAACTGTCTTGACGACAAAGATTCAGTCAGGTGTGAGAAATATTCTTCAAAAATTGTGCTCTATATTGACATGAGGGCATCACAGTTGATGTGAATTTGTCAGCAACGCGTCCCTAATGTAAATCTCATATTCCACTACAATCCAAAAGTGCAATCCCTCCAGCTTCTCTACACAGCAATCCCTTCAGGGTCGCTAGTAAGAGGTGAGGCCCGCCTGGAACAGGTCATCACTCCTTCACAGGGCGACACAGGGACACCTGGGATAAACTATAAAATAAAATGGAATAGAAAACGACTTTTTGCAATGGGGACATTTTGGTGAAGCAGCAGCAACATGACAAGGATTTAAAGTAAAAATATTCGTAAGAAATAAAATACTGTACTCTATCCACACACACTCACTCCTAAGAGCAATTCAGACAGACTGATTAACCTGATATCTCCATTCTTGGACTGTGGCCAGAAATCAATCATGAGCTGAAGTGCATCTCAGCACTTGCTTGTTGTTGCTGTTTTTGGTGTGTTTTATTGAGCAGGAAAATAACTGTTTAAAAATATAAAACTAATCAGATGTTTTAAATAAGGGGTTGAATATGTAAGTTCACTTGCAAATTGATTTGTGCATCATTACCTTTTTCACTTCTCCCACGTATACTGAGCTGTTACAGGGGAACAATGGATGGGTTTAGTTGCGTTTCAAATTTTCTGTTTTGATTGAAACATATTTGATCAGATTTGTTGCTAAACCCATAGTTCCTATTGGATATGATCATATTTGCTTTAGCCCACCTTTGAAATAAGGCAAAATGATCCCTTTTTAACTATCAGTGAAAACAAAGCAGACAAATCTGGGATTCATGAGGATTAAGAGAAATATTTAAAATAGATTTCTGTTTCCATGGATAAATCAGGGCAGTGAAAGAGGACAGTGTTTAGGATTCAACACATGCCTCCTGTGTGCTCGACACTGTGAGTTGACACTTGTGTGCCTTGTTTAATATGGATACACACACATCTGCCCATGCAGACATCTGCACACACGCTTGATCTTTTTATATTTCCCTTCGAAATGGCTGATTATCTCCATTTCTTTGTCGCTCTCCATTTCACACCTTATCTCGTATGCGCTATCTGTTCCACTAATATCATCATCCATTTGAGCCATCGACCCAACACACACACACAGATATTTTTTCTCTCTGATCTCCCTCTCAGACACGCTCTTAAGGCCTTGTGCAGATTCTGTGGTCTGGTCTTGAATAAATTGTCAATGGTGCTGCTGTTGATGGATCTTCTTTTACTAAATGTTCGATAGTAAATCACTTCCACAATCTTTGAGTTTGTGATTTTTCTCCTTTCATCTTTTTTTTTGTTTTTTTGTTTTTGCCCATACTAGATCCCAGTAAGACATTCCCAGATTTTTCCAGGCAGAGGAGTGTTGTTCGTTTTCATATGTGGTGACCAGAAGAACCATCAAACAGATGTTATCTAATTACACACGCAGCAGGAGGCATTCAAACACTGTTCTTCTTTTGCTCCACTGGCAGCCTATTGGTTAGTGGTGGCATCTCATAATCAGGGAGGTTTAATTTTTATATCCCCTCAATATCTAACGTTCCCATCAGCACTCATTTGCTGATACAGAAAGTCCTCTATGGTGACATTGCTCACTCAAAACCTGACCAATTTCATATTTACTGTAAACATTGAAGAGTTTTACAAATTCTTCTCGTAGACTCCATCCTCTTTTTTTCTGTTTGTCTAATATTCGGTCAAATCCCTGATTTCCTTTCAGTTTTAGCTCAAAAGCTGAAACTTTAACAGTGGTTGACTTTTAACTTCTTTCCAACACTTTGATTTTACATCAGGTTTTGGTTAAAGGTTTCATGAGGGGGATACACTTCTCTTGTTCAAGCACCTATGAACCAGGTTGAGTGGGTAATTAATCGGATACCAGTTATCGATTAATGTGATAGTTTAAAGTTGATTGAACTTGAACCAGAGTTTTCTTTGGGCTATGCAGCCCTCCAAAGAAATGCCACCCCACACAATTACTAACCCACGGCCAAACCAGGCATGATGAAGGATGTTCCAGGCAGCAGATCGCTCTCCACGGAGTCTCTAGACTATGTCACATTTACCACATGTGCTCTGTGTGAACCTGTTTTCATCTGTGAAGAGCACAGGGTACCATTGGTGAATTAGCCAATCCTGGTGTTGTCCCGCAAATGCCAAGCATCCTGCACAGTGTTGGGCTGTGAGGACAACCCCCATCTGGGGACGCTGGGCTGTCATGCATATACTGTACATGCACATTTTTGGCCAGCTGGAGGTTATTTTGCAGGGCTCTGGCAGTGCTCCTCCTGTTCCTGATTGCACCAAGGCAGAGGTAGCGGTCCTGCTGCTGCGTTGCTGTCCTCATAAGGCCTGGTCAACATCTCCCGGTATACAGTTCTGTCTCTAGTAGAATCCCCAGCCTCGGACACTACACCGACAGCCTTCTTGCCACAGCTTGCATTGATGTGTCATCCTGGATGAGCTGCTTTACTTGAGCCACTTGTGTGGGTTACCGAGTCGGTCTCATGTTACCACAAGTGTGAAAGCACCACCAACATTCAAAAGTGACCAAAACATCAGCCAGAGAGCATAGCTACTGAGAAGTGTCTTGATAATTGCAAATCATTTCCACCTGTTGCCTCTTCCACTTCCACAACAGCATGTGAAATTGATTAAATCAGTGTTGCTTCCTAAGTGGAAAGTTTGAATTCACAGAAGTTCGATTTAATTTAAGTTATATTGTGTTGTTTACGTGTTGCCTTTATTTTTTGAGCCCTAAAAAAAAACTTAACTATTTACCCTGCCGAGAAAACTCTCAATCCAATATCTACAATATTGATCAATCAAAGCTTATCCTCTTTAGTCCACCCCATCGTTCTGGCAAACTGTGTACCATGGCTGATAAGCCTCTCAAAGGCCTGTTTTTTTTTTGTTTTTTTTTTCTGAACCAATTTTTATTCTTTGCTGGCTCTTCTTGTAGCAGTATCTTGTATTTTGATTTGACCCTCTGATTAGAGGGCTCTGAAGGCTGAGGAAGTTGTATTAAATGTTGATTACCAGCTCAGAGGAAGGTTGTGATTGGTTGTCTGGTCTTTCATACAGACAACCAAAAGATGTCCATATTCTTACTTTGTAAAAAAATGTTAGACCAAATGCCTGCTCTGAATTTTCAGAGTGATTACCAATCATTGGTCTAAATACTAATGGGCTAAGGCGTCTATAGTTCATTAGTGACCCTGATTCTACCTTTCTGTGGCACACGGGTGGGTCATATTACAGCTTTTTGTTGTTGTTTTTATTTTTTTATTACAGTGTTTATACCAAATGTGTGGCAGTGGCCATTAAAACCTCTTCGAATGGGTTTCTGAATCTGTATATCAAGCCTGTTAGGTGCGGCATTTAATTGAAACTCCTCTTTCACTGCTTTTGTCATAACTTGGACGTTATCATTGCACACGTTTCACGGTTCATTTGCTTGGTAATCTGCAGATGTTCTGCAGCGAAGAGATCAAATCTGGTGTATGATTTTATCATGTCAGTGAGTTTTTTACCTGCAGTTATTCCCCTCCTCTGCTGATTTCTGCCATGTTTAATAACTCTCCTCTTCTGCTTCCTTTTTCACGGCTCGCTCCCTAACTTGGGCACCAGGATTGCAATAAACCTAAGGTACTGTATCTATTAGCACTGTCTATTCTTGTCATTGTGCCTCTTTTGTTTTCTAGCTCTATGTTTGTGCTGTTGCTGGTAGGCTTCTTCTTTGGTCTAATCCTCTTTGGTTCTCCCTGTAGCTGCTAGCAGACCTCCTTAATAAACACCTTTTATATGCAGACATAAACACTGATGATGATGACGAGGTAAACCTGCTTTTATCTCCAGTTCTCATACCATCACGTCAACAATCATATAAATAGCATTTGTAATAACAGGACTAATGGTGTCACCTTTGCTGCTTTCATATGTGTTATCCTGTTTTTTTTTTTTCATGAAAAAGCATATTTTTTGCTAAAAGCAAACCATGATCTAGTGATGACGGGAATCATAAGCATCTGTTTTCTACCACTTATAGCGCTGTAATGTGTGATAATGGTAACAGTTGCGATAATTGAGGCCCATTCTTCCTGTTGAACTGCGCCAGATGGAAGATTTCACCGTTAACACATTTGCTTCTTATAGTATGTGGTACCAATATATCTGTAGGTGTTTTAGTATTTCATTGGGGTGTTGCCGGTGGAAACGGATTAAGAGGGAGAGTTGGAAAAGATCAGAGCTCAAAAGGCTGATCAGTCGTACCTGCTGATAAATGCAGAGAGAACAAACCTGCCACTCTCGGCTGCAGAAAAGCCGTGCTCCTATTTTTAGAGCTGTCCTTTGTGGCAGCCTGCTCTGCCTCAGCTGTGCAGAGTTACAGAAGGCTCACTCTTACATTGAAATCATGCAGGAAAGGCAGAATGAGTTTAGTGTACATCTATTCCCTGTCTGTGGATCTTGGTTTCTAAATGATAGTTGATGTTCCAGCACGTGCTGTATCGTATCAAACATTAAGTACAATCATGATTTTGTTCAATTTGTGAATGTAACTGAATGCTAATGCAGTGTCTAATTCATTCTCATTAACCTGTTTCAGCTTTGATTTTCAAATTAAATAAAAGTGGGGAGAGATAATCGATTTTTATAGCAGAAAGAGTTCATCATTCTGTAATTGTCTGCAGTGTGTGAGTAGAATATGCAGATTTCTCTCAGTCTGCTTTTGAAGTATCTTTTGTTACCTTGATTTAAACACCCAAGCCTCTCTTTCCCAGCATGGCCAACAAAGGCAACAGCCCTGTTTGTAGTTATTAATAGCCTTTGGTTTATCATCAAAGTACGGTGGAGCAGATATTTTTGGCTCAATAATTCAACTGAAACTAAAGCTTTTGTAAGAAAAGAACTATTCATTTATTGACTGGGTTATATTTCACAACCTGGATGCAGCTTTTATCCCCAGAATTCAAGAGACCCTTTTAAAGGTTAAGGGCATTGAACGTGATGGATGATCTATTTTTATGGTAATTAGCTCACATGGCAGCAGTCCCACATTTCAACCTTTTTTAAGCCAGTGAAACAAGAAGGAAATCACTCCATCAAACTAATAATGGTATTATTTGATCAGTTAGCTGTTGATCTAATGTGTTTGATCAGGCTCTTATCATAGCAGCATGGTTTGCATGTCTGTGAATGACTGTAGGATGCAGAATGTTTTAAGCCACTTTAAGATCCTGGTTGAGAGGTGTAACAATCAGAGATGGGCGGATGTATCAGCTGCCCAGTATGATATTTATCTTTTATATGACAGATGTCTTAAGGAGGTTGTTACACAAACCAGTTCCAGTGCGAAACTGGAACTAGTTATAATTAGCACCAGTTCTGTGTTGCCAACATGCTCTGGCTTTGAGTTGGGCCAGAGTAAAGAAGTTCCTCCTCTAGGAGCTGAGGGTGAGCTCATGGAGATCAACCTCCAGCCAAAATCTTAGGAACACTATGTCAGGCTTCAGGGAGCCACTGCTGTAAAACCCAGTAAATAGGACATGATGGCAGCAGCAGTGGTTGAGAATCACACTCTCAGGTCACTTCTCTTCAAGGAATATGATATAAAATGGAAGAAAGTTAGACGTTGACATTCATGCTAGTACGGCTGGATCTTTTTGGCCAGCCTGTTTAAGCTAGTATCTCCTCATCCCACAGTTTCCAGTGGAAACGAATTAAGGAGGAGCAACATCATCTGCCATGTTTTAAAACCCTTTTTAATGTTAAACATCCAGCTGTTCTAGCTCTTTGTTGAACTGCTTGTTGAAGTGTTTCAGGAACCAATCATAAGTGATACAATTCGAGACGATTGTTGTTTAGGGGAGAGCGGAATGGTGGCCTAGTGGTTTAGTTCATAGAGCTTACAATCCTGAGGTTATGAGTTTGAGCCCCACTCCTACAGACTGCCACTCTGGATCTCTGAGAAAGACCCTTAAGCCCACACTGCTCGCCAGGCGCCCCACGATAGCAGCCCACTGCTCCCCAAGGAGACTGGTTAAATAAAGAGGTTAATTTCTCCAATGTAAGATCAATAAAGTTCAATTATTATTATTAAAACTAAGAACCTCGCTCCCAGTGGTTATACAAATAGCCATTTATCTTTCAGTTCATTTTTTAAATAAAAATGTGACAATGCTTCACATTTTATTTTTTGATTTTGGAGTGTTTTTATGTTTTACCGAATCACCAGAATGCCATGTCAGCCCATGATGGTTAAAGATTATCTTAAACAGAAAAAAAGAAACATGTCCATGAACTCCATTCAGGAGAAAAGACTTCCAGTTCCTAACCTTTCAGTTACTTTATAACTTCATCCGGAAACATCATGTAACTGATGAACTTCACTCTCTCTCCCTCAGCTCAATCTTTGAAAGGATCTTACTTCATTTCCTGTCTGATTTATGCACCTTTTAGCAGGTGTACGAGTACAACAGATGTTTTGCCTCAATGAACCTACAAGTGTAATTTTTTAGGCATGTCTGGCGGCCCACGTTTCTATCAAATTATTTCCAGAGCACCGTGCAGGTGACAAAAGCTTGAAAAATGAAGTAATCCCATGAGTTGCAGCAGCTTTGAAAATGCAGTCTCTTTATTAGATCATTGTTCTCGCTCTCACAACGCCACTTAGAGCCATAGTAATGGGACAGATGTCATTGATGAATGTCCTTCCTTCGGTGGCTTTCTCATATTATTCATTTCTCTAACAAGGTTAGAAGCCGATCACTAAATCAAAGCCTGAGACTCTGACCTTTTAATGGACACTGGGTCTTTCAGAGGTTTCCTGATTAGCATTTTTGAGCAAAAAAATGTATGATCAGAAATATTTTTATATTTATATATATATATATATATATATTTTTTTTTTATCACCTGCTTTAAATTAAGTTCACATGGTCAGATTTTGCGACTTCTTTGAGTCTTCACCTCATACCACATGGACATTTTAATTTTTTAAGAAGTTATAAAGGAAATTTATATTTTTTTTTACTTCCCCTTCTTTGTTTTTCCATTAGTGGAAAAAGTTCAGACTTCAGATGTTTTTCAGAAGTCCTATATTATGCAAAAATTACATTATAAATATTTTGTAACTGTCGTATGTGTCCTAACGCCTGTGTTTGAGGTTTACAATTGTCTGCTCAAAATGTTATGTTTGAAAAGTTTTCCCCTTGCGATATCATCAGGGGAAATCTGTCCAGAGTGGTCTGTACAGCCCATTGGTCAGGCTACAGCCCCTCCTAGCCACCATCTTTACGAACTTTGACTGGTTGGCCTTCATAGGTCAGGGTGCCACAGGCTGTCTGCCTAATCTGAGAGGAATTTTCCTGCACAAAGGACAAAAACAGGCTCTAGGGGCTTCATTGTTAATATTTTTAATTTTTAGTTGTAGCAAAATATGGGACCTTTAAACATTAGAGAACAAACAACACCATGAAGCCTGAGTAACACAACAGACAGGAAGAAGGGAGTAGTTGAGAAATCTTCAAACTTCCCACATAGCTCAGTTCGGGCCATCCTTTAAAAAAACCAGGAGGAGGATAAAGCACAGCTGCAAACCTACACAGACATGGCCGTCTTGCAAAAACTGACAGTCTGGTTGATCAGAGAAGCAATCAAGAGTCCCTTGGTGCTTCTAGAGGAGCTGCAATCAGGACAGTCATGGAAGAGAACCTCTTAGTCTGCTGAAAATATGAGACAGAAAATTTCCCTTTCAGCAGGACAACAGCCAGCCAGAGATATTATAATGGTCAGGTCAAAGCCCAAACCTAAATCTGTGCCATGACTTGAAACTCTCTTCGTATAGATGCTCTCGTCCAATCATAGTAAATGTTTATTCTTAGATGAATAGATCATTTTTAGTCAGTTGCTCTAATTGCAGCAAAGGTGGTTCCACAACGTATTAATTAGAACGCATGCTAAACACACTTCTGTTGTTTATTTGTAAAAATAATTTAAGCGTTTTTCTTCCTAAAATTTAACATTCACGCTCTACTTTTTGCAATAAGATATTAATTTATATCTTGATAACAAAATGAAAACTGAGACCTTTTTGTCCTAAATATGACAAATTCTGAAACGGCTCCTAAGAGTATAATGATATTTAGAGAGCCTATTATGGGGGCTGTTTTCTGTTTTCTACATTGTTTTGTTAAAAAAGTATGCTTATTAAAGCCACAAATTTCTATTCAGTCCTCTTACATAAAAATACTAAACCGTATGGGGTTTGTTTACTCTTGGATTCCAGAAAGTCATTTTGTAATATCCCATCTATGGATTTGCTGCAGGAGAATAGTGGTTAGCTAAAGAAAAAAAATCCAGATCTTACTAGAAACTATAAAACAATCCCTTTTTTTTTGGTCTCCATGTGTTACCGTGTTTATATGCTGGACTGTAATGAGGTTTTTATTGCTCCAATGCGATGCATCAGCAAGCAAAGCGCCAAGCATGGCCTTACTTATCACACCCACTTTGCAGTCTGTTTACAAATGACGCCTGAGGCCACCACCCCTTGCATTTAGCACACCCTGCAACTGAACATGAGTGCATTAACATTATCCTGAGGGGGTGTTTTCTATGTAGCTGTCACAGCCCTTGAAGATCAATGG